TCTTTTTCTTACATTTTTACAAATTAGAAATATTACACGATTACAGGAGACCCAACCCATTTTTCTCTGATCCAGAAAAATGTTTCTGAAATATATTTTGTGAAAACAAAGCTTCATATTTTAAACTATGTTTGGATTCTGGAATGTCGCTATTTTTACGTAGTAGCTTTTTTTTACTGTTTGGTTGTGAAATTGAAATTAATCATTTCCAAAATTTATAAATTCATACTAAATACATGTATATTTATTTCTGTAACAAAGTATGCATTTCATAATAACATCCTGGTTTACAAAAAATCGCCTATCCATACCCCCCTCGCCCGTTTTAGGATCCCAACATAAAACAACCCGTCCCAATGAATGATAGATACATGATACATATGTACATATAAAAATAATAGCATTAAAATTATAAACATTAACCCGTCATTCTGTTTAAAAAATCGACCCTGGGGTGGGGTGGGGGGGGGGGTTCAACTTCTGGGGATCGATTCTTTATTTATAAAATTTACTAACGATGATATATACATGTATTGTGGGGTGAAGATCGGGGATTACCAGATTTCGGAGCCGTTCATTTTTGGAAACAACTTCATTATCACCGAGATTGCATGATCAGAACATGATGTAGACTTAACACTTTGTAAAATCACTATATAATAGTGCAGGCGCGTAGCATCGTTTTTGAAAGTGGGGGGCCAGCCAGAGAATTTTATTTTTCTTACCTGAAAAAAGTTGACAAGCGAAAAAAAGGGGAAAAAAAAAAAGAAAAAGTTGCCCAAAGTCGAAAATCCTGTTTCGTGAAGGTAAACTTTTTCTCAGTGTTAACTACTTTCAGTATCAATTCTTATACTACATTTTCGGTAAAATCACTCAAAGTGGGGGGGGGGGGGACCAGGTTTTCTATTAACATTTCCTATAGTATTAGTAAGGTTGGGCAACAAAAAGAAGGCCCCCCTGTTGCTACGCCCCTGTTCTCCCATTCTCAATATAAGGGCTCAAATAGTGTCGCCTCATTTTCATTTAGAAGAAATACCACTGATGTAATTTTTAAATCAACATTATAAATAGTCATATAACAATGAATAAGAATTCATATAATTATCGATCTGAAAGGGTATTTAAGGAGTTGCAAATTTAAATATAGTAGCCTATTTGAAATGTACGTTACTGTCGCCGAGGCAAATATTATGCTGAATCCTTTCTGTGTAATATATAGTTTTGATTCTCAAGTAAAAATTTTCTGATAAGTTAAGCCTTGTATCATATATATATTTCTTTTCATAACAATAAATACATTTTCTTTGTGATTATAGATAATTTTTATTGTGCAATGTCCCTGTCGCTTAATTCTATTTCAACCACATTACAAGCAAACACAAAGATTATACACCTGATAGTTTTGTTCTCCTTTATTTATTGATGAGCTAAATTTGAAATTTCAAAGGATTAATTACTCCTACTTAGATAATGTAACATGAAATTGAACAATTTAAGCAACTTTTATAAATATGTTAACGGAATGAAAGACATTTTCAATTGTAGAGATAAGAAAGAAATGTACGTTACCTATATTCTTCCATGAAGAATATATGTTAAGTAGAAAATATGAGACGACTCTGAATAAGCAACCCCTTGTATCCTGTAAACTGGCAAAGAAGTTTTGCTTAACACAATTAAAAATTATTTTTTACATGAAAAGTGATCATTTGAAATGTACGTGACTGAAATGTACGTTACCATGAAATTCGAATTAAGTGAATCTCGCACGAATTTTCATGTATTCTCATACTTTCACACACTCGAATGTGTACACAAATGAAAGTTTCAAAGGTTGGAGGTCGGCTAAATCCCAAAATTAATGAAAAGAAACGTTTCTGCTGAGGAAAAAAAAATATATTAAGGTCAATTATAAGTAATATAATTTTGATACATGGTATATATTTCTGAATACGAAACCTGTATGATGCATTTCTTATGATATGCAAGTTCAAATAGAATCAATATATTGCGTGTCTAACGTACGCTTGTGGAAGAGAATTGATTTTTATATTTGAAATGTACGTTACGTATGGTAACGTACGAGGGTTGTCCAAAAAGTTCGTGGACAATGACGTTTTTGTGAAAATAAGTGGTTCTTTATAAATCTGTTGTATATCAAAATATTTCTCATGAAAAAATAAGTCAGAATGATTTAATTTTTATTGATGAAACTTAATATTTTTGTAAAAATCGGGGTTTTTAAAGATCGCAGATTGTGCGCACGGACCAGCATGACGTTACGCTAATTTCATTATAACGTCAAACATTTGGATTTTGTCTTAACACATGTTCATGGACACACATTACATTTCTTTTTTAAGGCGCAACGCACTTCGAAGTGCTAGCAATAATTTTTAAGTACAGATTATAATCTATTTAATTTCTAAAATTCAAAGCAATGCACAAAAATTTACGAGCGTCATCTAAATTAAAAGTTTGTATACCCAAACTGAACAGACCAGTCCGACGCTGCGCTAGATTTATAATAACGTCATGAATAGAAATAACCAATTAGAGTTAATTACATGGGTTTTTAAATTCTTGTAGTGTCTTCGAATTTGTACAAACTGTTGAAAAATCGTATATACGAATCCCAAATCAATACATTCAATATATTTCAATAATTTGAGTTGTTTTAACAAATATTTTGTTTCTTACATCGTTTCAACCGTTATATTACTCAATTTTTTGACCGGACGCTGACCCGTGCCGACGGACGACGTCACTTTTTCTGTTGAGTTTTGACACGAACTTGTTAAGGTTTTCTTTGTGTATTTTCGTTGTCTATATAGTAAGCGATATTCAAGATATCATAAAATGATAATAACCTCTTTATTTGTTTTACATAAAATTTTCAATAATCTTTGACTTGTTTTATATAGAAAATAATCATTTTAATCCGAACTCTTTATATCAGAGTTTACATCATTTTAACCTTGGTCCGTGCGCACTATCCCCGACCTCTAAAGACCCCGATTTTTACAAAAATATTACGTTCCATCTGTAAAAACTAAATCATTCTGATCTGTTTTTTCATAAGAAATATTTTGATATACAACAGATTTATATAAAACCGTTTATTCTCACAAAAACGTCATTGTCCACGAACTTTTTGGACAACCCTCGTACATTTTACGTATTTATAACTGATATTTTTTTTATTTAGTCAATGAATTGCGTTTACACGAGAGAAACAAAATTATCGTTACAATCCATTTGACAAATGGCCACATAAATCCATCTAAATGCACCCCCAATCCTCGTAAATGTTTTAAACTGTTACCACATGCTAGAAAATTTATTTCTAAGTGTCTTAAATTCATCTTTGGCAACCTTTTTGCAGTTTGTTTACTTTTAATATGCGACTTTTCGTCAATATTAATTTAATTGTTGTTGATAATTTAAAACAAGGTATGCATAGGCTTATAATTGGTAAAAAAAACAAAAACAAAACAAAAAAAGAAAAAGAAACAAAACAAATAAACCCAGAACACAAGACGGTCATGTGCATTTCAAATACTGAAAGGCACACAATACTCAGTTTTGTTTGAATCATTGCATTTTGGGTTATATTTTTCCAGATCTGCTGAAAAGCACGTATGTTTGTGTTTTGACAAACGATGTTGCAACATACTAAATGAAATTGTTGACAAGACTGTCGATTGATTTTTTTCGGAATAGGTTTTATATGTCTCTGGGAATAGATTTATGCTAATTTTCAATGGCCAAACACGAGCATTTGTTAGATCATAGCAAAATACGTCTGACTCTTTTTTGGTCTGTACCCTTGCACACATGTAGAAGTAACTAGGCTACGACCGGTGTCAATATTAGCGAAACAGCACAAAAGAATGGTAATGTTAGGTTCCAGTATCTATAGAAAATGGCAAGATTCCAAACTGATCGCTTTAAACAAAAACAGAGAGAAGAATTTAAAGCATATATTTAAAAAATGTTTTTATAAATCTGGATCAAAAAGTAACCTTTGTTTTTTGAAAGGAAAAATCAAACGCATGTTCCTATGCCGAGAAAATATGTTGCTGACAGAGTTGGTAGGATGTGCTGGTGTTAAGATGAGATATTCCAATAGATAGTTTTCGATAGGCCTGAATTTAGCGAAATTAAAGTTACCTCCCGTTGGCCGCCATATTGGAGGTCGACTCAGTGATTTTCCCTCTTTGTCTTACCAAGTTTAAGAAAATATAGCAGAAATATTTGGTGGAAAATCTTTATCAAATAATTTTTTTTTAATAAAGGAGGCTTCTAAAAATTTATATACTTCAGAAAAATAATGATTTCTAATTCAAAATAGCAAATATAAAAATTTTAAATTGGTTGAACAATGAAGGAATATGAGCATTTGGACCTCCAGTATGGCGGCCAACGGGAAGTAACTCTTGGTCAATCGAAAACTATCTATTGTGATTTTAATGACTACATTTTTTTTACATATCTTTTTGGACATTGAAGAAAGGGTAACGTACATTTCAAGCTACATTTCTGAATAAAATCACCCTCTACTTTACCGTCTTGTCATTATTCCATGTATTATAATTTGATGAAAAAAAATCTGGAAACAAAATCTTCAGATACTTTCTTTCAAAGGTAATGAATAGAAAAATTGTTATCTTGAACTTCATTTTTAAAAAAAATCTGAGAGGCACTTGTGCCCTTATATTGAAAATGGGTGTGTAGTGTGCAAGGTTCCCTGAACGTGCAGTGTGTGTTTTGTGTAGTTATTGAACTATGAAAACACACACTTATTACCGTTAGGAAAAATATTCTCAGCATTGTGCAGAATACGGCTAAGTTTCATGTTTGTGCACTTTTTTTTATTTACCGAAAAACATTTCGCCCTCTCTCTCTTTTTCTTGTGCATATTGTTTAATTTTACTGTAAAATTCCAACGTTATAAACCGTTATTAACCTGAATAAAACATTTCAAATATATTTCTTACTTGGTTTTCTGTAAGCTTTGCTGTCTATGATGTAAATATCATTGTGTGGATGTAGACCTATACAGGATCTTACGACGTCAGGTCTCCTGCATCTCCAGAGCCAGGTCACGTGATCTACACTGTTATGTGATCTTCCTCTGTAATGTACAGCCTCCCCTCCTTTTCTTAGATCAACTAGAAATTCTTTTCTTTTATCTCCACTCTTCTTTAGTATTTGGTTTGAAACATTTACTGTAGAAGAAGATTATCTAGTATTGTCAGAGCGTTAAACGTATAATGTCAACCGAAATATTTATTAAGGTAGAGATTGATAGCTTGTCAACAAAAAAACTACTCATTGAATTTTTCTGAATTTTTGATATGTTTGTGTTTAGTCCTTGTTCTAAATCATATTGAAAATTCAAGGCAGGTCATCGGGCTAGTTTTAGAGAAATTTGACAATTTTAATATAGCCTTCATCAACCACCGAAGGGCTGAAAAAGCAGGGTAAAATAATATAAGTATATGATATGAAAAGGGCTGTAAATTTTTTATTGCTATATCAATTATCATTTGTCTTATATGAATTCAAACATCTGTCTGTATGGATTAATATTTGACATCAATCTTAAATTTATCAAGCATTGAAGCAAAAAACAGAATTACATTTACCAAGATGCATGGTCAAATTAGGTTAAAATATTGCCTATTCATTGCACAAGGTCTCACACTTCTGCTTCCACTGTGAAAAAATTACCCATCAAATTTCTTTTTTTATTGCATATTATAGTTAGCCTACAAGTGTCTTAAATTTTAGAAAAAAATCATACTATATAATGGGGTTTAAATTCAACCTGGAACAAGTTTATTATCTTACACCCTACCCTACCCCCTTCCTTTAGAAGAATGCAATTTTGAAGAATATGGTGACTAAGAGAGATTATCAAGAATTTATCTAAATATTTCACAGAAAATCAGTAAATTCTTTGTAATTTTCTTCTAAATTACATTTTGTATCACAAAAACAATTTATACATGTACACCCAGACATATGTTGCCCTGCTTGACCTTTTTGCACTTATATTAAAAAAGATAAGAACTTTCTTTTATATCGTTCAAATTGACTTTGATAGATAGAATTAATCAAAATATTTCAAAGAAAATGAGTAAAATTTCAAGTAATATTCTTCTAAATTACATTCTGTATCACATAAAACAATTTATACATGTATACCTGGACATATGTTGCCCTGTTTGACCTTTTTGCACTTATATTAAAAAAGATAAGAACTTTCCTTGATATCGTTCAAATTGACTTTGTAGATTTATTATACATATGATTCTTGGATGAATTATCAATGACAATATGTTTTGGCAAATTCTGTGCATAAGTAAACTGGTTTTATTATCTTCCTTTGACAAGAATAGAATGATTAATTTCACTTTTCTTTTAACAATTCCTTTTTTATTCCAAATAATGTTCAACATAAATAAGACAACCCAGTGATTATGAAGTTTTGAACACAGAATCAATCCATGGCATGTTATCCTTGTTTTAAAAATATTAAGATACATTATTACACTGTTAAATGAAGACTGCCTGGTCATCAGTTGTCAGATATTAATATACTAAATCATGGTAAAAAAATATGCTAAATAAATGGTAAAAAGTGCAGGAAAATTGGGTGATTTGGTTATCATTACATACATACAAAAATAGTGTAATAATTTATAAAAAAAAAAAAACATACAATGTATTAGAGGTAATAATTTGTAACTTTAAAGTATAGATTTTGCAAACAGATTCATAAAAGTTAGAAGAATCCCACCATAAACTGTATGTGATACTGTACAATTTTCAAACTCATGATGTAGTTCAACAAAATAAAGTGAATACATTCAGTACATGTACGGTAATAGGATAAAATTGCTATATTGCTTTTTGTCTTATTGGCTAACAAAGTTCAATGTAAACATGTATGCATCTTTTATTGCCATCGTATGCAGCCAGTTGCGTCATGTTCAATGATCCTGACAAAATTCCGTTGTTTTTATGTCAATACAACAAAGGTATTCTTTCACAAGGATCTGCAGCAAGCAAAATTCACTCTGTATATTCAGATTGTGAAGCACGTCTTATGGTGTGATATGTCCGTTCCGCTTTACCGTCTCCTTCTGGTAGTTCTTTTTCTGAAAAGAACAAAATATCTTAATACAATAAGACTGAAAATACATTTTTACTTCTTTCTTACACTGCAAACATAGTATGACTATGTCTATATGAATATAAGACACTTTTGAGATACTTTTTTTTTTTATTATATAATGTCATGAATTTTTTTTAACTAAATGCATATAAAGTCAGCCTCATTAATCTGGGCACTTTTGCTCCCAAGGAAATTATTTGGATTAATGAATTGTCTTAATTAAACAAACTTGGTATATATGGATAAAGATCAAATATTTTAGTTCTAAATGTAGGCCACACTCTAAGGCCAAGATCATGGGATTAAAGAAAAAGAAATAAACATGAAATACAAAGACTCAGCACTAACTGTTCAAGAGTTAATACCAAAGGATCAAGTTTTTGTGGAAATAAAAAAATACATGTACATGTCAGTGACACATCAATGCATATACTAGCAACCTAACTATTATATGTGGAATTAAAATACTTTTCTTTTTACATCTTATTCCATTTTTTAATTCAGTTTTGTCCCTAATTACCTTATTGATATAAATCCAATATTCTTTTGTAACACTGCAGATGATCGACACTTGATTAGCCATGGATCCTTTATTCCATGGGATCTGTAACATGATGAAATAAAATAAAGTAAATAATTTGATCTATTTAAAAAAAAATGTAGAATTTATTAACCATTTTGATTCATTTTGCAAATTTAGCTATGATAATGTGAAGAGGTCAATATTGTTAAAAAACCATGTCAATTTATACAAGTTTTTTAACAATAGTGACTTCTTCATATTATCATAGTACCAATTCTTTGGTGCTTTAGTTGAAACAATTTCATTCAAGTTAGAAAACATCTTTACATTTTACAATTTTTTTGGTTATTCAGTTTTGAATTCAATTTACAACATGACTTTTTATATGTTTATACACAAGTATTTAACCATACATGTATTTAAGTCAATAGAACACCTACATGTAACTAGTGATGCAGGGATCCCCAGTTAGATTCTCAGTCCAGCCATACATGTTCCTTGTTTCCTGACACACAAGTATGCCACTTTATGTTCAGTTTGCTGTAGCAGATCTGGTGTGAACTTTCCTGAAATATTAATATGATCTTTGAGAAATTATTGACTTAAGAAAATGCTTCTATATGTATACAATAATACTGTATGTACATTATGGTGTTTAAATTAAAAATACAAGAACTAAAAATCATATTAATTTAAATTTTTAATACATGTATTATAAAACACCTCCTTTTTACCACCCCCTTGAAAAAAATTTCTGGATTTTCCCTGTCACATGTGCAAGTGTAAATTGAAAGAAAAAATACAAACCAATAGCTATTTTGGACTTAATGTATAAAGCACCCTTGGCATTCCTCTTTCCAGGTGACACTTGATTTGGTCACATTATTTCAGCAGAGAAAGCTGAATACACTGTCTAGTTCATAGCTTGCTTCACCTGTAGTATTAAATATTTCTTTTATAATCTATGAATATGATATCTGTTTATAATCAGGGCCCTTTTGAGCATAAAACAAATACATACATAAATTTATTGCAGGTACATAAATACATAAATGTTACACAAGGCTAAAAAAAATAGTCTTGTTTCCCGCTACTCGACTGACCCTATTTTTTGTCACTTGATCCTAAAGTTGTTTCTTTTTTTTCAATGCAACTTTTTACAATTTGCTTGTTATTTCAAAGACAAAAGATTTGTAAGTAAACATGGTAAATGTCCACTATCATTTATAAAAGGGGTAATAATAATTAAAAAGCATCTGCCATCCAAAGCAGAGAAAGTTTATACATTTCTGCATTTGAGCAATTTAAGCAAAATATGTTTTTCCATTTTTTGATCTGAGTAACTAAACATCACCTCGTGTGTTAGGCACAGATAAGTATGATTACTTTACATTTTTTACCAATCCGGCCTTTATCATGTTCCGGTTTTATTCTTCTATTCTAGAAGTTACAGTCTGATCATGAAATAAGTTTTAATTCTTAGCTAAATAAAACTACTTTTGGAAGGGAAAAAATCTATGAAGGTTATTGGTAATTGAAGCTAAATATACTGGTTGTTTCAGACCTGTGCGTAAACAAACAAGCACCATAGTCATGATCGATATACTAAATCGTAAATATTCACCTTATGTATCTGACAAGGACACAGCATTCAAAAAATCTGTTCTCCAAAAATTTTACTTCTTCCGTCATACCAATTAACATCTGTAGGGTCATGTCTATACAGAAAACAGACACAGATCGATACCGGTGTACCCACGTGGTGCTGCAGCGGACACTGGACAAGGAGTAGTTTCATCAAAATTATGTTCATGTTCGGCTTCAGTCTCACTTCTATTTTGATTCTCATGAAGATGCTTCAATTTCGAGAACCGTAAAGATTTAATACGTATGGTAACTTTGTCTTTTAAGTTGAGGAAATTTCTCGATCGCTTCGTCGGCCATCTTGTAGCATAGACAATAATGTGTAAATGGAGACTTTTTTTTGACGGCGTTCCGGAATCCGGAAAAAAAGCACGTGCAAATATGCGAATTCGTTCTATCACGTGATTGCTATCGGTCTCTACCTTAAGGAGGTAAAGTTATACAAAAGTATATGGATAATCCAATTAAGAGTCTCAGTTGTCCGAATAAAAAAAATGGAAAAAATCTTCTGAAATTTGGAAGCATCAGCCACAATGTACAAGCCTAATGGAATAGACATCATCTTATGAACCATATCATGAAATATTTAAAGTAACATTTATAAATATACCAATCTTTAGAATTCATTCAATTATAAAAAAAAAATATAAATTGAAACATGGTTTTTTTATGTATTTTTTTTTTTGGAAATGTTACTCTTCTTTACACTGACTTACATATCTGCTGTATCTCATCATATATATACGTGTCCTCCATGGTGACGTGAGTCAGTATGTTCATCTGTAGACGGTGTATCAGTAATTCACCAGAACCACAGACACACTTCTCTCCAGGTTTTCTGTTGTATCTCTGTGATCTCAGGTACACACTGGCTGTGTCATAACTACTGTAAAGGAATGGTATATTTTCGTTTATTAACGCTATCCTATACATTGTCTCATTCTTTGTGTCCTCCGTGATCTTATCCTTATCTTCCCAAAGATAATCACGTGACTTCAGTCCGTCCAGAGTCTGCTGTGCTTTCTCACGTGTTACAGGATTCTGTTTATGGTACCGTCGTATCTCATTAAGCAAGTCCAGCCACTCTGTGTCAGTGAAGTCAGGAGGACCGGAGTCAGAACACAGAAAACAGAATAACACGGACACCTCGTCATCAGTCAGTGTTGAGAACAGATCTAGAAATTGAACATAAAATGATCAACTCATTGAAATGAGATATGTGCATACATATAGTCTACAGAGGGTTATAATTCAAGGGGTGCAAGCAAATATTTTCAGGGGAAGGGGGGGGGGGCTAAAAACTTTCTTGACAACAAAATTAAACTTCATTAGAATTTTATTTCGTATGTTTTCTATCAACAGTATTTGAAACAAACTGATCCATAGACTGAGATACATGTTTAATTTTGGATTCAATTGTTCAATTGATTGTAACTAAATTATGCTGAAATCAAATATCTTAAATAACAAATAAGCTTTGATTTCCTTTATATATGTACCTTTTTTTTTATAATTTCTCTTTAAATACTCTTTAAATTATTTTCGGGGGGGGGGGGGGATCTTGAGAAAATCGTTATTAGCTTATTTTATTCAAATTGCTTACATTAACATAGAAATTGTTTTTTTTTTCAGTGATGTGAACAACTTTATTGTAGCAAGATACGTTAATGCTACGGGTACTTTTGAAATAAATTAATTTGTTCTATTGAATAGGATTTGGTAGTGTTTGTTAGGGCAGAGAAAAAGAGACGCCTGCAAAGACAATGTAATAATGTTAATAGTAAATGTTAAACACACGTTCTTTGTGAAATAAAACCAAACCAAGATATATACGTAAATTACGACAAAGAATGAAAATGTTCATGTACCCTGCCATGTAGATAAAAAGTCTCTTTAATGCATGATTCAGAAAATACTCAAATACCTTTCAAAGCATATTACCCCTTTTTAATATGATCAATAGTTTACACTATACAAGTAGAGCTTTTTAAAAAAGCTTCCCGTCTTTAGCAACAATCTTAAACAGTAAAGTGTTCTGCACCTATAAGGCCGTATAATTCTTTTGAATTTCTTGAAATTGTATTTCTATATTTGCTTTTTACGGGCATTAGCCCTACCACGGTTGTCGTTCGGTCATCTCCGTAAACTTTAACTGGCAACTTTTGAACGGTAAGGAATAAGGCTTTCATACTTCGCATATGTAATCCTTGTGAGTAGTCCTTTCATTGGATAACAAGAAGTTTGACTTTCTGACCTTGACCTTGGAGTTTGGCCACTTTTTAAAAACTTTTACCTTGGCCATAACGTTTGAAGGGCTAGGGCTAGGACTTTCATACTTCACATATTTTAAAATTCCTTGCGACAAGACCTTTTCATTGGATATCAAGCACTTAGACCCTTTGATCTTAATCTTGGAGTTTGACCTACTTTTTAAAAACTTTTACATTGGCCATAACTTTTAAACAGTGAGGACAAGGGCTTTCATTCTTCACATAATTTATTTATTCCTTTCATTGGATAACAAGATTTTTAAATTTCTAACCTTGACCTTCCAGTTTGACCTACTTTAAAAAAAACATGACCACAACTTTTGAAGGGTTAGGGCTTTCATACTTTACATATCTATTCCATGTGACAAGGCCTTTCATTGTGTATCAACAACTTTGACCCTATGACCTTGATGTTTGACCTACTTTACAAAAACATGAATCTTGGACATAACTTTTTAATTGTAAGGGCTAGGGCATTCATAGTTGAAAAAAGCTCATATTTTTTTTTCAAAATACCACATGTACGCCTCTTACAGTTTTAGCCTGATTTCAATATAACTTGGCACACAAGTAGACTACATTAAGATACATATAATTCTTTGTATCCATTCTTGATTTCGATGAACGGTGTTGCCGTGGTTACTAAATTAAAAATTTTATGAAATACTCTCAAAATGCTACTTCTCCTACAGTTTTGGTTTGATTTCAATATAAATTGGCACAAAGGTAAACTACACTAAGATACATAATTCTGTATATCGGTTTTTGATTTGAATGAACTGTGAAATACTTTCAAAATGCTACCCCAAATACAGTTTAAGTCTGATTATTATATAATTGGACATGCAAGTAGACTACATTGATATACATGATTACCGGTTTTGTGTTTTTTGATTTCGATGAAACCCTGTGGTTGCCTTGGCAACTAAAATTGAAAATTCTGTAGTTTTTTTTAAAGCTACTCCTACAGTTGTAGTCTTATTGTAATCTTGCCACAAAAGAGACTTAATCAAAGATCATTATTCTATTCATTGCATTGTAAAGTTTTATGTCCCAACTGCTACTTTTTTCTTCCTTTATTATAAGTAAAAACCAGTAGACCTACAGTCTTCACAGAGACTTCTGAATATATTGAATTTACATTTTAAAAAAAAGGTTAATCTTCACTTTTTCGCTTCCATACGGGGTCATTAGTGTTTCACAAACGCATTTTGTTCCTTTTAACTTTTGATTGAGATATAGGGCTTTCATATTTGACATGTGCATTACCTATGACAAGACATTTCCGAGCATGCTATGATTTCTGACTCCTTGACCTTCACAATTGACCTTTTTTTCAACTTTGGTGATAATTTCTAAATGACATACAATAGGGAGAACATATTTGATATCTCAACACCCACAAAAAAAAAACAGCGGGGGATCACAATTCTTTGGATTTGCTTGTCAAACTAGAAATAGATATATATATATATATATATATATATATATATATATATATATATATATATATATATATATATATATATATATATATATATATATATATATATATATATATATCTGAAGACCTGAACGTACATGTATAAAATCTGACTAGACAAAATGTGTCAACCCCTCTCCTTTTCTAATGACTGTCCCCATTATCTAAAGCCACGGGCTGCTCATAACTGTCTCCAGGAAGTAGCTTAACAACCCCACCACACCAGCCCCACTTTGCCCACCCCAACCCCAATGAAAATAATTGTTTTTTCATATTTGAGAAAGAATTTATTTTAATATTTTTTCTCTGTCAAAATATTTCTAAAATAAGCCTTTTGACCTTAGTTTATCCACCAAACTGCTAAAAGTTCCTGGATTTGGGCCTGTAATCAATACTGGTTTTAGTATTTCAAAACGCTACTTTGATTGATTGATTGATTGATTGTATATTGTTTAACGTCCCTATAGAATTTATCACTCATATAGAGATGCCACTACTTGCCGGTGGAGAGCTGCTAACTTTGTCTTATACTCGGCACTCAGGATCTTTGAGCAGGGAAGGATCTTTTTCGTTCCAATGCCTACTGCGACACGGGACCTCTGTTTATACAGTCTGATCCGAAGGACCGGTCTCTATGTCCCCCAGTGGGATTCGTACCCGCGACATACAGATCATGTGGTTATCGTTTTTTTTTTAAATCATTACCTTTATTAAAGAAATTTATGATTTAAGAACGACCTATAGACTCGCTTTCCAAGGAAACACCCCTGACATAAAGAAAGTAAAGGGGATTATATGTACTAGAAAATGGAGATTTTTTAACGTTATGATACTACGAGGGTTGTTCAATAAATAATGCAACATGTCATCTGAAAGTAAGAAAAGTACGCAATACATATTCTTGATAGTTTCAATTCCTCAAAGCATTTCCTGGTACCCTGTAAGAGTGTCTAAGGTCGTTGTATCCATGAACAGAAATCGTCAGCTTACTCCTCTTTAGGGATGCCCTAAAGACACTGACGAATATCATTTCTAATGACGTATCTAACATTGTACAATCTTCCTTTAGATGTTTTCATGTCCTTTTAGAATAAAAAGATCTCACAGTGGCTGCGATCAAGCTTATATGGGTCATTGAAAAGTCCTATATACTTTCTTTTCTTCAGAATCTTATTTCTTTTTCTAAGCGTATATACAGCTGCGTTAGGCGCAAGAAAAATACCCTGGTCACCGAATTTGGGACTTTCTTTGCAGGAAATCTGTTCAAATTTTCTTTGTGCAATTTGAATATAAAGCTTACCATTGCTAGTCATTCATTTTTATGTTATGTACATGTTATAATGGACCTCTGTAAAGACACGAAAACTAATAAAACATGTTTGGAGCCATTGCTTCTCTTTTTGATATTCAAATCATTCTACATTTTTATCATTAATCTTATTTTACAGCTATTAAAAAGGGCATCCATGTTTCAAAACACATTCAGAAATTTTTCAAGTCTTCTATTTTGTTTAAACATTTGTTTTTGAATAAACCGTTGACACATTTAACGAAAGTTCACTCTTGGACATTTGTGAGAAAATGGGACACTCATCTGATTGAAATATTGTTATATTTCTTTCCTTTGTCAGAATTCTACAAATTTCTGTGATGATTAAATGTTTAGTATCTTAACAATGTCTTTCCATGTAAATATAGCATTTCTAAATTCATGTAACACATAAAGTCGATATTTTTTGGTATCCCCTCAAATTGCAATTGACCACATTGACTGCTATATTTGAACTCTCGTGTTTTTCTTCTGAATTATTGAATCCATCTGATAAGTATACAGCATTCAAGATATTTATCATATACATGTAAAATTCATTTCTTAAATATGAGGTTTGAGGCGATTTATGTAAAAAGCGCAATTTTCGAATATGCTCTTATTTTCATTTTCTGGCATAGATCATTTATAAATAGTTTTCAGCTCAGGTACGTGTAGTGACCATGCCTACTTCAAATATGAATTTCTTCGCGAAGACAATACGAAAATTCGTGGGATTTTCTATGTTTCGGGGATCTTTAATAGAACTTTCTTAATGTGAAAAAAATGAAATTAACTGCCTCAACATTTATTATGATATACTGTGTATTGCATTACTTATTGAACGACCCTCGTAATACTGATAAAGCAATGCAAACTATCTAGTATCTAAATTAATGTCTCTGAATTATTTTATACGCTAAATGATAATTATTAGTTAGGCTATTATTGTTAGGCTTGGCAAATGAGCTATCTTAAAGAATATGTGTTAGACTTGGCAAATAATCTATCAAAAATGATTAAGTGTTAGGTAAATACAACTCTCTTCTGTTTTTCTGGATAGACGCTCACCTGATATGTCTGTCTTCCACGCGCTGTAATCGCCAACATACAAGGAAGAGAGTATATCTACAAGAAAACAATACCGCAATTTATTTTTAAAAATATATTAAAGACATGGTCTTATTTTCACTTGAAACATTTATAATTGAAACATCATTACCGGCCGCCAGGAGGCGGCCGGTTATATGATATGAAAGTTTTAAGTCGCTGTGCGTTTCTGCGGAGCTAACAATTGAAATAAAAATATTCAACATAATATCGCCGGCGTTTAAATATCAAAGAAATATTTTAAAATGTTTAGGAAAATGCACAATAATCGTAAAATTCAATTTTATAAATAATGGGATAACTATTTCATCCAATCCTGATTGACAAACTCTGATATAACTGAAGTGCGGAGAATATTAGTAGGAGTGTTAGGCATAGTCTAAAACAAAGACCACGTTGTAAATCAACAATTTTACTTTCTCTTTTAAAACAGGATCTGCTGTATTAATTTGAAATGAAGTGTATAGTTAAACATTTCCTCTGGGTGTTTTTCAAAAATATGATGAAATATTGATTTCTTAAAAGCAAAGAATATTACGACATGTTGGTCCAAGAGACTAAGATAGAGCGCGTTTTACAATGTGCCAAACATTTTCCCGCCACATCTCAACACCAAAACAAAGAGATTGAAAGAGAAGAAATGTAGTGGTGGATCTTGAAGGAGTTGGGGGGGGGGGGGGGTAACATCCAATTAGAGAGAGCGAGGATCCCCACAAGTTATATATTTGTTGCGTTTTTATTAAGGTATAACTATAGCTAAATTTAAACTTTAGTTTTGTACTTTTAATGTAACTACTTAAACATGCAGCAAGTTAATTGTACCAAACTGAGTGCAGAGACGCAGAGGACTATGCATAGTTTATTTTGCCTGTACATGTAATATTGTACATGCATTATGCAATCGGCATTGTTGCATGCATTTTTTTTGCATGTCACGAGGATATTTTAACAGATAAATATACGATTTTTTTTTTAAAACAGCAAATTTCAGTTTCTGAAAGGAACTTCAACAGTTATACAAATTGGTTTGCGGCCGATTTTTGACGCTTGCGTCAATATGTTTCTTGTTTTACTTGTATCACTTCAACGGATCTCTATTTTAAAATGTTTAAAGCTGTCAATGTGATGGAAAACAGGCTATCTGATTGTGAACAGTAATTGTATTGTATTTTGAACACATTTAGACGACGTTTCCATTTGCAAGAGTTACTCAAATCCTCAGCAATATATATATCCATTTTTCTTACTCTTCCTATACGTTATTTATATATTTAAACCTTCTCAAGGTCTAATATATCATACTTTTACTGGCAGAGTATGGAGCAACAGAAGAAAGCTTATAAACATACACACATTCACACACATTTATTTTAATTGCATTTATCAGACACTGTCCTCAAATATCTTTAGGAGAAAACAGTACCTTTTGAGTCTTTGACTGCTATCGTGACTCTAAATCAACATCAAAATGGACAATAGGGCAATTATTGGGACAATAATAATAATTACTCTGGATAATGTGAAAAACAATTTTTATTTTTTAAAAATCCATTTGGAAAACAGTTGGAGGTGTATGATGGTACACATTGTCGTTTTGTTCTATTTATCGTCGGCGACAATGTGTATTACATTTACTGCCCACAGTGTCGTCTATTGATTTGAAGCCGGCTGAAACGTTGTAAAGTCATGTCCATACATGCATTGTATGTTCTGTTTGTATTTGTTTTATTTGTAGTTTAACCCCCCCCCCCCCCCCTCGAGAATTCTTCCTCATATGGAAAAGCCACCTCTTGCCGTGGGGAGCTGCTAACTTTGTCTAAATTCGGCACTCATGGCCCCACAGATGTGTTATTTTGCTTGTAGAAGGGATCAGATACCCCCCCCCCTCCCCCGTGTTCAGGATCCACCACTGAGAACACGATCTATACTCACTCCTTCACCTCTGATATTTTCGAGGTTCGTCTGTAATGTTTAATGGACCTTTCAGCTCAAATGCTGTTCGTTATCTCCACATACCGGTATTTTATCTTAATAAATAGAGGATATTCAATGTTCTGTAGTTGAATAGGGAATTTATTTCACGAGTGGGACAGGATTTTTGATATTTTCATGAGTGCGAACACGAGAGAAAATATCAAAAAATCCTGTGTCACGAGTGAAATAAATTCCATATTCAACTACAAAACATTGAATTTTCTGTTTATTACATTTTTAAAAAAAAATTCTTTGATTTTTCCTTTCTCTCTGTATTTTTGTAATACAGTCATAGACTCGTGACGTCATAGTTGAGCGGTTGAGACGTCATAGCTATGTGAGGTGAAAATACTGTAAACATGGATTTAGCAACATATGTTTGGTAATTTTGACAGTTTTATTCGTTGTCAGAATAGTTTATTTATTTCCATCTATCTTATATTAGGTCAAGGGAGATTTTCTTTACAGCAATCTTCGTTATAGGAAGGGAAATCGAGAGTTTTCTCGCACTTCTGATATTCGTCACACTGTGACAGGATATCATTTTGATATCCTTTCACAGTGTGACAGGATATCATTTTTATTCAATGGATAAATTACAGTATCTCACGGGTAAAAATGTAATAAAACTGTATCTTCTATTTATAAAGTTTTAACTTTTCTGACACAATGGCCTTTGAAAAAGATTTTAGAAAGATGTCGAATAATTTTCAATAATCCCCAACTCTTTACATTGCATGAATGTATAAACCTTCACATGATCTAACTTGAATTCCCTTTTTTCACGAATTAGTTATGTCACTTTTATGGCATGATAGGCTTCAAATTGAAACCAATAGTTAAGATGGAACTGAAAATGTGAAAATTCTTTCTCGATCCTTGTAAATATTTTTCAACTCAGCTTTTCAAGTCCAAAATAATGAGCAAATGTTCACAGGGTATTGTCGCCAACGACCAAATGAGCCAAAGTTTGTCTGAACATTCTGTCGTCAATTACGTAGGAGGAAGAGTGGCTCGACTTGGTGCACATTGTCCCTGGCGGAAATACTTGTATGTATGTGCAGTGAATGAAGAGACTTACATGTTTTATCACTGTCTACAGTGTTGATAAAACGACATGTGTATACCATTACACAACTAGCAGATATTGTTTTTGTTGTTTTTTTTTTTTTTTTTTTTTTTTTTTTTTTTACAAAAAAACATATGTCTCCCCTTCTTTACCAACATTTAGAAGTCCAGTTTTATGATTAAGGTCAAAATAATAATGCACTGCATCTTTCAAGTTTTCAAATTAAAAGGATCTAAAGAACTGGGTACAGTATGTATAACGAGGCGGCCCTGTAAATCGGCAAAAATTAAACGCACGATAGCATAGTTTGAACTGTGTCAATTTATTGCTAAGGTTCCCCTATTGGTATCAATTTTCCTCAACTCACGTGACCTTTTGTGTATGTAACGTTCAAAACCAGTCTAATATTCCGGAATTCACCTATTTTGGACGTTTTGCTCCTCTTCAAGTTTATATTTCGATGTGGCCGCATCCGAGTACATATGCGAAACTTTGCAGAAAGAACAAGTATACTTTGGTAACTAATATGCAAGAGAAAAAATAACTGTACAAAAGTGCGGCCACGTCCGTTTTTAAGAAAAACTGTAGTTGAAAAAACTTCGTTTTTAGATAGATGTGACTTTTCCTCCTAATTAAAATCTATACTTTTAAAGAAATTAAATGTTGAAGTCTGAATCTGAATGTGTTATTATCTAATCTATACTTGTACAGAAATTTATTGTTTAAATCTGTATCTGAATGTTATGAAAACCACATACACTTTTCTTCGTAAAATATATCAAGGGAAATTGCATGGAAATCAATGACGCAATACATTAAAAACATGACGTCACAATGAGCGGCATATGTTGAATAACCAATTATTCTTTAGACTTCCATTATAGGAATGACTCTAATTCTTGGCCAAATTATTCGATTATAACCTGGTTTTGGTCAGTTTACGCTTTATAAGCGTAAACTGACCCAAACCAGGTTATAATCGAATAATTTGGCCAAGAATTAGAGTCATTCCTTATAATTTAATTTTTAAATAATTAAACAACTGTGGATGTAAAATTGTGCTGCTTTTTAAGAGTTCAAATTTGCCGCGCAATAATACATCCCTAGTAACGGAAGTGATTTGAAACAAGGGGACGTAATAACTGTAGGGGACGTAATAACAGATCTAGCAGCCATGATGTTTGTTTACACGAGGTAAGAGCGAGCTACTGTTTGAAGTTAAAAGTACATTTATTAAATTTAGAATTTTCCATGTAATTCCATGGACTGGAAATGTGGGATTGCATAGATACAAATGAATCAGCTGGTTGTCAAGGGGGGGTGTCCCCATACCAAACCAGGTTATTACGTTTTATTCTAGTGTTCCTTTTTGGAAATCAACCAATGAGAGACTAGAATATAATCAAAATTAAATTATAATAAAATAATAATATGATAATAATATGATAAATTTTCAATCAATATATACAGTGAAAAACAGTCAAACGACATAAGTCTACATTTATACATGTACCTCTTATTAAAACGAGGGTCTCCTTCATATTGGACGTAATATCAATTGACTTTATGTTCAAGAAAGATTTTTTAACGTCTTATTGAAAATTATCGTGCAGCTTAATAAAGTATGATTTAGATTATATATACATCAGTACTTTCAAGACAGGTTTAAACTAGTGCTAATTGTAACGGGGACCGTTACAGATGTTCCCCAAACGCTCCCCAACTCCCCTTTGGTTCCATATTCCCTGTAAGCTTCATTGAATAACACAAACTCTATACATTTGAGATTTTAACAATGTTTACCCAGAAATGTACCATGCTCATTCAAATTTTAGCATTGGATGTGTGCGCATGTGAAGGCATGTACATAATGACCATATCATCTTGTCTACACAATCTATATATTTTAATATACTAAATATTAAAGTATCTAATCCAAAAGAATTAAAAAGTTCGCTCATTCAAGTGTATTTTG